ATTACCAATAGACAAACAAATTAATAGAATGGACAATTTGGCGGCCTTATCGCTTCATAGCGGCATCTTCATAGCGGCATCTCTTCCAGGCAACCAATGGCGTAAAGGAACGTTTACTACGTAGGTGGTGCAATATTAACATACATAATATATAACTATAGCAAATACAAACATGTATACACATACCCACTCATAAATACATAGTTATATACATACATACATACATAAATAGTGTAGATAAAGGTTCAAATACGTTAAGCATAGAAATATCGGTGATGATCAATTTGCCACCGCAAGCGGGTGGTAAGTGGCATTATAATATCTTTTGGGTATGCATATAAAAACTTAAGCTGCAACAGTTTTCAATACTTTATTAAATTTAAATATCTTGTTCTTACCATTTCGTCTGCGTGGGCACTTTAGATATGAAACAGTGTATTTTGCGGCATGCAAGGAATCTTAAGCCTGGACTCGGTGCTTCAACTATCTCCAATTTAAAATTCATGCAAATTCGTTCAACAATTCGTTAAACTTCATGCGCTTGGAGGGGAAAGCACACACATACATTTCTGTATTCACAATATAAGTGTTATTAAAAAGAAATAAGTGGGAGAACTTTTTAACTTAAGTGTTTGTTTTAATATGGGAGATATTAAAACGAACACTTAAGTTAAAAAGTTCTTACTTAACAAAAAACAGAAAAAAACTTACCTAAAAACTCTAAAAACTCATGCAGGAAAAAATCCATAATATTTAAGCGGTTAAAACGAATCCTGCAAACTCGATCTCGTATAGCGCATAATTTAACTTATAAAAATTGACTTTACGTTTTAATAATATAAATATATTTTGAATACAAAGAAGATAGTATACGCGTTTATCTTAAACGAATGCCGAATAAGATACGCTTGCCTAGTTCACAGTGGTGTGATACCATTTCCCTAGAGCGTGATTGCAAGAATTTATACGACGGCCGTACGAAGGTGTTATCGTGGCATGATCGTTAGCCGATAGATACAGTTTGTCCGTAGCATTTTTGTTAAAAGTTTTAAAAGTTAAGTTGATTCGCAACATTTAACAAAAACCCTGCACTGGGATAGATACTAATTTGTGGAGACATTTTATAGTTTGACATTTCGTTAGACGATCTACACGGCACTATTATCTGGAGCTACCGTCGGAAATGAATGTACATGCGACACATAATAAGCTGTTCGTGACATTAGAACGTCATCATTTCTCTTCGTTCCGTGACCATTATTATTATATTACCAAGTATTTGAAACATCCGAAGTTAAAATTTAGTCTGTACATCCTCTTCTGCCTCTAGTAAGACAAGAATGAGGTCTAGGATCAGCATTGTAGACTTTAATCTTATCCTTTAAACGAGCAATTCTTGTATATATATACAGCGTGTCGTTACCATCTCGACAATAAATTAACACACGTCTAACACTACTTGCCAATAATCATAAAAAAATATTAACGTTTAACAAAATCCATAATTAAAAAAAAAATATTTTTCAAACAACTCGCGCCACAGCGTCGCATTACAAGCCTCTCCTTCTAACAGTATGTTTTGTCCCTTTTAAATTCATTCAACCCATTCATATGCTTTGTGACCTTTACAAATTAACTTTACGTTACAGTTTTATACGTAAGGGTGTTCTAAAATTGTTTGTTTTGAAAAATTTAATAACTCTGTAAATATTGATGTTTGAATAATGTAAATGTTTAATACAATTTTAAAAATTTATCCTCTATATGTGTGTTCATTTATTGTCGCGTTGGTAACGACACGCTGTATATATATATATATAATTGGAATCTCGGAAACGGCTCCAGCGATTTTCATGAAATTTAGTATGTGCGTAGATTCGGGGGCGAAAAATCGATCTGACTAGGTTTCATTTTTAGAAAATGTCGTTTTATCCCAGTTTTCAGGGAATGAAAAATATTATTCGAATACGACGATAAATTTCACCGAAAAAAAAATGTTATAATAGCTCGGTCGGTAATCGGGCGGCCGCTAACAAACAGCCACGAAACAGAAGGCCGTGGTTCGTATCACGATCATTTACACACTTATTTTTTTACCTTTTTTCGATTCCAGATCATTGCTTACTTTATCTTTTATTTTCTTCGATTTGTTATTTTGTTATTATTTTCCCTTTTTTTTTAAGGTTTTCTTTTGTGAAAAACACCAATTCATATTTTCTTATTATTACGTCGGTAAGATCGAGACATATTATGCATTTTTCTTTACTTAGTAATTTGTATCTAAATTTAATTTCTAAAATACACGATTTACCAAAAAAAGAACAAATCGAGCAAAGCTCGGTCCTCCAGGTATTGTATATTAACTGCACAGTCCACCACTGACAGACATCACATTTCTTCGAAATATTTTCTTTTGTTATTATTTCGATAATATACAGGTTTCTTCACGATGTTTTCCGTTCACCGACATATGATACGTCAGCACTTTAAATTAACAATTTCATTGGTGCTGCCACCGACATTTGAACTCAGGGGGCTCAAGTATAATGAATTAAAAGCGAGCGCCTTAACAATGATCCATCACGGTTTAGTCAACAAACAGATTAAAATGAAAAACTCTACTACTTACTAGCTATGGAAATGTCTTACAAAGGAATTGTAGGTTCTGTTTCTGAAATATTACTTAGGACATGTTTGCTTGAATTAGGAAAGCTATAAGTGACTATCTGTAAACATCGCTTTGGTACCCATTGATATAATAAAACAAGTACAACATCGAGAAAATGTGATAGGGCCACGCAAAAATCTTCAAAGTTGCACATATGGACAAGTCGGTCCCGGGAAGTAACGCTGATGCACAGAAGGTTAGTACCACGACCTCACAGAAGACCTGCGTAATGTACAAGTGTTGCACTTCTGCGTTTCGTCTGGTGAGGGAGGTAACCGGGGCCCACTTTATTCAAAGCTGGCAACACATCTGCAACCCTACGGGTGTAGCAAATGCCTTCCGGCAACGGTTATCACTTAGCACCAGGTAAACCGACAGCTCGCTAGCTACCTTCTTACATAAAAAAAACCTCGAAATCATTTCACCTTTTAAAAATAACTTGAATATACAAAAAGAAATATTTTGTGGAATACATCGTACCGACATGTCATATCATTTATCAACAGCGATTTCACAATTCCTTGTGGAAATTTTCGCGAGTACAGATAAAAGCTTGGAAAATGAAAATCGGAGTATGGTACTACATTTCGTCAGGCGCAAGAACAACATTTCAACAATGGATAAGAAATGGTGTCTCTGCTCTTTTTTGTCCTTTGTCCAATATCAATACCTGCTGCTATTATACTATTGGGTGTTCAATTTGAAAGCATGTAATACTGTTTGTGGTTTTATTGTTATAAATAACTAGCTGCTGTCCGCGACTACGTCGCGTATGGGTGAAAATTTAGGTTATGTATGTATTTTTGTATGCTGTATCATAAAGAAATAAAAACAAAAAGTTTATATAAAAAATGAAATAAAATCGTTAGGGGGATGAAAAATAGATGTTGTCCGATTCTCCACCCTGGCCGATATGTTCACAAAATTTCACGAATATCGGTCGAGCCGTTTCGGAGGAGTTCAATTACAAACACCGTGACACGAGAATTTTATATATTAGATTTTTTTCATTTTAAAAAGATAAATTTTTGTAGATAAATAAACATAAATGATCACTCATCTCTCATCCCCCAGAGCCGAAAGTAGTTGTTTATTTATCTACTAAATTTAAACGTACAATATAATATACAATTTCAAAGTTTCATCTAGAGTGCAGAAACTAGCACTAAAAATAAAAATTAATCTTTGAAAATTTTAAGAGCAATGTCGACATCTCTCGTTACAAATATTCATCATTAAACCTTATTTGTAAGGTGTTGTATGTTGTAAAAGATGCACACTAGATACCAAGCACTGCTAAAAGTTAAATAGAAAGAACGTAGGTAGATGTCAAGATCTTCGCGCCGTAATGCCATGTCCTGCTTAGCTTAATTGGTAAAGTATCTGAGCGCGGGACCAGAAGACACAGGTCCAATCTGCTAGTCTTAGGTACCGTCACTTACAGACCCATGCCGCTAGGTACGTTCTACCGCAATTACCTATTTAATAATAAGTAAAAATATTTGCAATATTGAATGTTAAAATATTCTAAATTTTTTATTACAATGATAAATTAAATATCAAAGAACATTGACATACCTGATTCTTGTGATTGAGTTCTGCTTTCGGAAAGCAAATGCGAACACACGGTATACCAAAATAGCCATTTTAAAGTAGCAATAATCAAAAAACTAATTTTAATTACATGAAATAATATTTTTAACACGACTCATGGATCTATCATTATTTTTAAGAGCCAAAAATAAATCATCCCCCTTTCTTATAAATATTTTTTTGTGAATTTTATTAATTCGTTTCCGGTATTTTTATAATTTTTCAGCTTTTAATAAAGTAGGCCCCGGCTACCTCACTCACCGACAAAACGCAGAAGATTAACTACTAATTCTACTTCACGCCGGACTTCCGTGAGGTCGTGCTATTTACCCGGACGAACCTGCTCATACGTGCAACAGAGCACTGTTGCGTGCCCCGAGTTAAAATTATAAGGAAATAAATAAGTTGATTAAAATTGCGCTTTATTTTATTTAAAGTGATATTTTGGTATTCGATTTTTTGGTATCAGAAGCTGAAAGTCGGCTACATTAGGCTACTTATGCTGGAAAAAATCGCAACATTGGCAGTGTTGGCAGCATAGCACTGATGCCAAACTGACGAGGACGACTGTCAATGTCAGTGTCAACCAGTATATATGTCTTATCTATGGTGTCAACTGTCTGACCTGACATCAGACCAGAGAACACAGATGCAAATTATTGAAACAAATACACAAAGAATTTAAAACATTTAATAATACTGTGTAAAGGAGTCAAACTTAAAAGTCGTTGCTTATACCATGACCGACGCCAACAAAACGTCACTTCGTATAGACTGGTTTGATGGCACTCTGATTGAAGATATTAGACAGAACGTCTCCAGTAGTTCCCAATTTGAAGATGAAGACTCTCCTGAAATGCAGGCGCAACCACAAAATCCACAAGAAGTTGAGAAAAAGCCTATTGGTTTTAAACGGTTGATGGATATATCACAATTAAAGCCGCCAATTCTTAACGTAGAACTGTCTCACAGACCAGGTTTCTGGCACCTTTTTGATACTGAACTAAAGGGAGATTTTATCGTTTTAATCGTCAAAATTTTGTCTAATATTTTTAATTCTTTAGAACCCGGAGAAAAGACAAAGATCTCAATGTTGTTGGAAAAAAGATTTATCAAAAGTAACTTTTTCAATCATTTTAAAGACTACTTACATGGCTTACCCAGTTTACGGATTGTTGAAAAAAGAATGAACATGCAATTATGGAATGATGTTGAAAGATTTTATTTTAATATGTTAGAATTCTGTAAAGGTATGTTTAAGTTTTACACAATGGAATTTGAAGTTTTATTAGAAATATTGGATTTACTAGAAGTTGCCGAGATCAGTGCTTTAGGAGTGAGAGAAGAACATACAGAGACAATAAGGGACAGTTTCTTTTTTGAATTAGAGCACCTGAAAAAAGATATTATGGTAATCATAAATCAGGTAAAAGTTGCCTATAATGTTTTCATTTATTATTATTTTTTTATTCACTAATTTAATAGTGTATTACATCAGACACTTGTGGCTCAAGATTCCATTAGTCATGAAGCACTTTAGTGTTACAAATGCTAAAATCCTAGTAAAAGATTCAAATAAAAAGAGGGGCCCATTGGTAATCAGCCATTTGTTGTTTGGGTTAAGTGTTTACACCTTAACAAACGATGATAAATCTAGCCATGGCACACATAAAATCAAATTATATTTTTTCAGAATCCCAAGGAATGTCTTCCGACAGATTGTGAAAAGAGCAATAAAGATCCTAATAACTTTAAAAATCTTCCAATTTTTCCAACTAAACAGGACATCCTTGGTGTCAATCAAGTTAAAATTCAACCGAATATAATCAATGGTACTTACCCAAGTGTTGAACATTATCTTGATCTGCAGTTTAAGCTGTTGAGGGAAGACTGTTTTGCACCATTACGAGAAGGAATATGTTGGTAAAAAACAATGTTTTCATTTGCATGCCAAATTTTGAAATAATGTCAAGTGAAAGTGAGATTTGCTGAATTACCATGCTGTTAATACAAGCACAGCACACAGATTTTCTACAATACAAGATCTATTTTATGTGATATCTATATTTACATTCTTTCTTGTATTATATATATAATTTTTTTGTGGGGTAGAAAAAAATTTTTGTGGTGGACCACCCGTATCAGTTAGGTGGATGAAAAATAGATGTTGTCCGATTCTCCACCCTGGCCGATATACACACAAAATTTAACGAAAATCGGTCTAGCCGTTTTGGAGGAGTTCAATTACAAACACCATGACATGAGGATTTTATATACTAGATATGGCAATATTATATATTTATATATTATAATACTTAAAATTTTAATAGAAAAAGTTAGTATTAAATGTTCTAGATTCACTTTTAAATTATTAATATTGTGTAAGCTCCCATTTATCCTTGCACTTTATATTATATAAAACAGTAGTAATTCATATTTTTTCATAAAATCATTTATTTGTTTTACATATCTTTTACATCATAATATATGTAATTGAATTTCAAGAGAAGTCTTAATCATAATCATTAATGTGAAAGTGATAGACAATTATAATATATTAGTATTTGCTACTGTATTCTTAAACAACATATTTATGAATTTAATTTCAGGTAAATATATGGAAAATCCATCCAAAAGAAGGCATGAGAATATAAGGTATGGATAATTTTTTTTTAACTTTGACTCTTAAAAAATTCAGGCCAATTCAGGCCATGTCTTCAATTACCATAAACTTGTTTGAAGCCTAATTTAAATAATTTCAGGGTATATCCAAAAGTTCGTATAATTAGAACTTTTGTGAGCAACAACAAAGTTGGTCATCTTGTGGACATAGCGTGGCAGGAGCGTCTTGCCAATGGAACTATTGATAAAAAGCAGTATGCTTTTAACAAAAAACTAATGTTTGGATCGTTGCTTCTCTTCACGTGTGACCAGTTCGAGACAATACTATGCGCTTCTGTGCTAGACTCGAATTTAAACCTGCTAAATGATGGATATGTATGCTCAAATATTAAATAATTTTTGCACTCTTAGTTTATAACCATACTGTGTACAACATTACTATGGAAAAGCAACAGTAATATGGCTAGATGGTTTTCGTATGTGATAAGGCGAGGTGATTATAAACGCAATTAACCCACGAACGTCAACTATATGTCTTACTACTGGGCAAAGACCTGCTCTATACAGGGGGTATTAGGGCATAGTCCACCACGTGGCCTCACTGTGGATTTGTGAACTTCGCATATCTTCGAAATATTTTTCTGTTATTATTTCGAAAATATGCAGGTTTCCTCACGATGCTTTTGTTCACTACTGAGCATGTGATAAATCAACACTTAAAATTGATAATTTCACGAACACTGGGGATCTAACTCGGGTTGTTCAAATATATTGATACAGGTCATGCATGATGGAAATATGTGTTGATTTCCATAACAATAACCTTTAATATCTCGTTGACTAAAACTCACTTACTACAATATAGCCTGTTTATGATAAAATAAATTGTATAAAACATTCTCAACGGGCATTCATACCACATTTAAATGTCATCAGCGAAGTTGAAACTTTATTTATTTATTTTTTTCAGATTGTTGTGTCCTTCCAAAATCCTGTTTCTAACACTATTTTTACACAACCTTACTTGATGGTGGAGAGTGAGGTGTTCTTTGAGCCATACCACAGAGTTTTAGCGGTCTTGCAGAAAATGAAGTCGGAAAATTTACCAATGAAGAAATATATAGTAGATGTTCAGGTACTGATTTTATTAAAATTATAACTAATTTAAAACAAAACTAAATACGTACTATTGTTTTTGATTAAATTTATGACCCCGTATTGATCTCCATCTTCTCGAAAACTTGTGCCTTGAACAAGGAACGGACAAATTTTGTTTGAATGAAATGTTTCAAATTTTCTTGCATAGGTTTTTGATGTAGCTTAGTGGATTCCTAGCTCTAGCGACCCAGCAATGAATTTCTATTTGCTAAATACCACATCACATCTTGTATTTATTCCCCTGGTTAAGGAGATAGTCAGACCCACCATTCACCATTGGGTCTTCAGCTCGTAAAAATTAGGGAATATAGTTGGTCATATAAATCCCGCACGTATTAACGGTGTGAGGCCTTCTACGTAGGGATGCCGAAAAAATATCTACATGTCGATATTTTTGATTTTATATATGTATATCGCTATATTCGTCCGATATATTTGGATCCGATATTTGATATATATATAGAATATTCAAGAGCAAAAAACGTATCAAAAACATATATTTTTAAAATAAAACCGTTTAAACACTTTTAAGTTAAACGGTTTTATTTTGTGTACTGAAAACTACAATATTATATTGCAATCTAAATTAAATGTGTGTACCAAATTTCAGATCAATCTGACAACGGGAAGGTGCTTAAATTTCAATTTCTAATTTTGACCCAAATAAATAACCAATAAATTCAGTACGGGTCGAGCTAAATAAAACCGTTTAATTAGAATCTTGCACAGAGTCCGTGGTGTCAAATATTTAATTGACAACTTTTTTTTAACTTAGGGGTTTCTAGGACCTATAGCCGATTGTACGAAGATTGTATACTTGTACGAAGAATTTACCTTTTCAATTCCAGGCCGAACCACAAACTCCCTCGTATCTCACGCCTGAGACGAGATACAGCATAAAAGACCCCTTGAATGGCGAAGAAATAGACTTTCCCGTCCTAGATTCTGAACTATGGCCGCCGAACGAAACAATCGGCCTCGACGAATCTCAGATGGACGCGTTCAAGTTCGCCCTGACTAGGCAATTCGCCGTCATACAGGGCCCGCCCGGCACGGGCAAAACGTTCTTAGGGATCAAAATCGCTTCCACACTACTCGGAAATTTGTCCCTGGAAGGCACGCCCATGGTCGTGATCTGCTACACGAATCACGCCCTTGACCAGTTCCTCGAGGGGATCCTTCGCATCACCGACAAGGTCATCAGATTGGGCAGCCAGAGCAAAAGCGTCGCCCTTCAGAATCACACCTTAAATAATATGCGGGGTAGGACAAAGTCGCGATACTCCCACATATACTCTAGTAAGAGAGCAGAGCTGGAGAGGCTGTACAAAGAAATGACGGATGTCCAGACTAAAATAGAGAAGTGTGAAAGGGAGTTGGTCTGTTACAAAACGCTTAAACCGTATTTGAAAATAGATCGTAAGTCTTACGAGTTGAAAGCGACCAGCGAAGATGAGATAGTATCCTGGCTGTTTGGCCACTTGGACGGGGAAGCGGAGAGTGTTAATCAAGAGGAAGAGTTGGAAGATTGGGAGAAGCAGTGCGAAGAGTTGAGCGTCAGCGATGACGTGGAAACCTGCTTCTCCGAACAGTGGGCTCTCAAAGAGATCCAATCCATGACCAACAGCATAAAATACGTGAAAGATCTGACTCAAGATGAGATGGAATCTCAGAAGATGGTCGACAGGTTTCAGGGGCAGATCGAGAAACTTAGGAACAGGTTGAACTATTTCAAGGTACATATACTAATGATTTTTTTTTATTTGAGAAGGTGGCAAGCCAGCTGACGGTTCACATGATGTTAAGTGATAAAAAACCAGCGCTGTAGTCTCGTATCGACTGCGGCATTAAGCTGAGTGCGGTCTGTTTGCCGTATACGCCACACACAATTGTGTGCGTAAAATGTGTGATGTGTTTAGTATTTTTTATTCCTCTTTTCTTTTCTTTTTACTATGTATTTTTATGTTTATTTTATGTGGCGTATTTGAGCAATAAATGTTTTCTTTCTTTCTTTCTTTCTGATAACCTTGGATTTTTGCAACAACCGCAGATATGTACTGGGTTGTAGATGCCTTTTAATAAATTGGGCCCCGGCTACCTCACTAACCATACAAAACGGAGAACTATAACAGTTCCACTTCAATCCATTCATACAACAGCATTGAAAGCCAGTCCATTAAACGAAAATCCAATTAAAAAAGAACAGTATTCAGTATTGAATATTTCCAAAAAATTTAAATAAAATTAATAGCTCCCGTTTCGTTACAGAAACACATGGTCATGTCGCAAACGTGCGTCCATCCGGATCCTGATATCCCGCAAGTGGATGATTTATATGATTTATCGCCGGAGAGGAGATGGCGAGTCTACCACTCCGCAGCAACAGCATTGAAAGACAAGCTTGTCACCACGATGAACGACTTGATGGTTCGTAGCGGTAACTTTTGATATAATTATGTCAGGGCATAATGGCCGATTTCAATTTTCTATCTATCTGCAGATTTCCTTACTGGAGATAGAATTTTGACGTATGTATTAAAGAGCTAACGTCAAATTCCCATCGCTAATAAACAAATCGACAGATTGATAGAATACTGAAAACGGCCGTGCGACAGTATTTGATCTTTAGCAGTCGATTATTGTCCAGGACGCAAAAAAGTGACGCCAATTCTAAAATGTGTAAAGTATTTCGCGAAATCTGTACTGCCAAATGGCAACGTTTAATTAAATATTCAAACTCAAAAAGTAAAACAAGAAGTCCACCTGTTATCCACCTACAAAAGACTATCTTCCAGACTTGTTGGGAGAACTGAATCTTGATCAAAACGCCCCAGCCCTCGACTGTTCAGTATTTATTTCTTTTATGAGAGTTTTTAGTAAAAGTAGTGACGGGAAGGACCGTCTTAATCGTTTTTTTTTATTCATATAATTATATGTAAAATAAAATATATAATTACGTAATATATATAAATAATTGAGCCATCATAGCTCAGTGTCCGGGCGCTCGCCTTCAATTCAATATACTCGAGCAACCTGAGTTCGATCCCCGGTGCCGGCACCAATGAAATTGTTAATTTCAAGTGCTGAATTATCACGTGCTCCGCGGTGAAGGAAAACATCTTGAGGAAACCTGCACATTTTCGAAATAATAACAAAAAAAAATATTTCGAAGGTATGTAAAGTCCGCCAATCCGCAATGGGGCCGCGTGGTGGACTATGACCTGACACCCTCTGTACAGAGGAGGCCTTTGCCCAGCAGTGGGACATGTATAGGCTGATACTTTACTTTACTATATAATTAAAGAAAGAAAGCGGTCTTGCCGCAGCTTCTTGGCCGTGCTGCTGCGGCCAGGTCTAGTTTAGGCCTGTCCGGAGCGGATACGCCGGTGATAGTTCTTAACGTTCAACAATAGCTTAAAACAAACATAATATGTTGAATAAAGAAATTATGACTTCGACTTTTTAATCGACTTCAAAAGGAACAGGTGCTCATTTCGATTGTAATTTTTTTTTATGTTCGTTAACGATTTTGATGATTCTTTTTTTATTTGAAAGCTGGTGCTTCCCATGTGGTCCCATATTAACAGCATTGGTATTGGATCTTGGGCTCCGGAGATACTTAGGAAACTCCTGAAAATCAATAAAAATTAATACAGAGCGAGATAATAGAAGTCGGTTTTGCTTTTCGTTAGTAAAAATATGATTATAATGAGCCAATTTAAAGGCGGGCTCGCAGACCACTCAGCTTGGTTATGGAGAGAACGGTTAAGAGGAAGAGAAGAAGAAAAAAAGTGTGTCGGTAACTACAGGAGAGGCACAACGCGTGCGGCGAGGAGCTGCGCGAAGTTGGCGCCGCCCTGGACGGGGAGGTGGTGCGGGCTGCCAGGGTGCTTGGTGCCACCACCAGCGCGGCGGCCAGGAGCCACAGCCTGCTGGCCAAGTTGCCATCCCCCATAGGTAAGGTTATAGGGATGTTGCTACGTGATGACCTTAGCTTTGTTTTGTTTTTTTTTTATGTGTTAATATACCAAGCGAGCAGGCGGTTCACCTGATGTTAAGTGAATATCGCCGCCCAAGGACATCTGCTACACTCGAGGGTTACAGATGCGTTGACAACCTTTTGAAAATTGGGCTCCGGCTACCTCACTCACCAGACGAAACGCGGAAGCCGGATACTTCCACTTCACGCAAGATAAAAATTTTAAATCAGAAGCAATAATTTAATAAACATCGTTTTTTCCTTTATGGTTTATCGTAAATGCAACACCAATGCTACACATCTCTGGAACTCCTTACCCGATAACATAAGAAATGAAATAAATTAGGCCTCTTTCAAAAGCCTGGTTCGAGAAGATCTGTTGAAGACAACCAATCAACCATTTATTAGGTCTTTGCCATTATTATACGTATAAGTATGTTTTCTTTCTTTCTTTTTTATTTTCTACGCATATAATTATTTATGAACATAATTATATTTTTATCTATACTTTAGTATAATCCAAAATCTTTTTTTATATATTCCTTATACTTATAAATATGTATCAAAATTTATTTTCTTTCATATTAGCATTTTGTAATTTTCATACCCCTTGCTGCATCTACCACAAACTATCACTACATCCTGCGTTGACTGCCAGAGAATGCCTTTGGGCATTAAGTCCGCCCTTTGTTACCTTTTGTTCGTAAAGTTAGGAAGAAAAGGTAAAAATAAAGCATAAATAAATAAAAATAAATGGCGATGTTCCTCCACAGTTATCGTCGAGGAGGCCGCCGAGGTGTTGGAAGCCCACATAGTGGCCTCTATCACCAACCACTGCCAACATCTCATACTAATCGGTAACGTATCGTTTTTTTTACTTTGACATCTGTCATTTGTTATCTTCCATACGATTATTTACGTAAATTGTCATACAGTAATAACATGAAAGCATATAAAAAACGCACTCATCTTGTATTAACTGATGTATTTGCTTTCAGTCCCGAGACTATTAAAGCTTCATCTGACGCAGAACCGGTGGGCTAGCCAGAACCCACGGGTTTGGGCCCTCCGCTGTGGGTAGGGCCGCGCATGTGCTCATGCGTGCGTTTAACTACGACATGTCATCTAAGGGCCATCGAAGTTGCGGTGCGGACCGAGACCCCGATGGCCGTCGACTGTGTTTTTAGCTAATCGGTGGCTGGGGGCGGTGAGAACCGCCCTGGAACGCGAGTGTACCTTGTGTACGCGTTGTGTTGGTCTCGCCGTGCTCGGAGGCGAGGGCGAACTATTGTGTTTGTTGTTACACTAGCTGTGGGTGTAGTGTTGTCCGGCGGGACCCCCGGCGGTGGGTCCGGCGTATCTAAGTCCCCTTCCTCGACCGGGTCGATGAGGACGTTTCGCGGGCGACGCTTGTTAACGTTCGCGTTTGTGTCGGGTTGGTAATTTGCTGCGCTTGCCACCAGAGGGTTGGGATGATGTTCGGCTCTATCGAAGAACCGTTTTGTCAAATCTTTAAAATATTCGCGAATCGTCGGGAGTCTGCAATCGCTGTGCAGATCGACGTTGCGTTGGTACCACTGCGCACCGGTTGCACAGCGGATGAACTTATTTTGTACTATTTGCAGCTTGTACAAGCGAGTAGGGTGCGTGTGGGCGAAGATCATGCATGCGTAGGACATAATAGGTCGTACACAGGTCTTATATAATAATATTTTGTGCCTTAAGGGCATTTTACTTTTAGCGTTAGTTAAATTGTGTAGCCGGCCGGAGACGAACGCGGCTCTATTACGAACGTTATTAATGTGCGTAGTAAATGACATACGCGAGTCGAATGTGACTCCTAAGTATTTGACCTTTTTCTCCCAGGGGAGCGGTTGGCCATAAAGGGATATTTGCCCCAACTTTCTGCATTGGCGAGGGCCATTATAAAGATGTGACGGGTAAGTACTTCGTGTGAAGTGAATCGCCACACTCTTTTCGGGATTTATTTCTATTCTCCATTTGCGGAATCAATCGCCGAGGCGGTCGGCGGCGCTTTGGAGTCTAGTGGTTAGTATTCTAAGGTTGCGGTCTGAATAAAAGAGCGCGGTGTCATCCGCGAAAAGCGCGAGATTGACGTGGGGGTCTTTGGGTATGTCGCTCGTGTAGAGCGTAAAGAGCAAAGGTGAGAGGCAGGAGCCTTGTGTTACGCCGGCCGTGAGGCGGCGGCTTGTGGAGAGGGTGCCCTCGACTCTATACCGAAAAGAGCGATTCAACAAAAAGGCCCGGCTGGTGTTTACGAGCCTATCTGGTACTTTGAGAGTGTACAGCTTGTAAAGCAAGCCGTTGTGCCAGACTTTGTCGAATGCTTTTGCGACATCGAAGGAAAAGAGCCCCTGTACTTATATGTTTCGGGTGGTTTAGGCCTTTTAGGATGTGCTCCGTTAGGCGGTATAACTGATCGGGACAAGAGTGTCTAGCTCGAAAGCCGAATTGTTCCGTCGGCAGAAGGCCGTTGGAAAATACGTGCTCTTTGAGCCTGTTTAACAAGAGCCGCTCGTAGAGCTTCTCCAGGCAACTGAGGAGGCTGATGGGACGATAGCTAGAGGGCTGATTAGCTGGTTTATTCGGTTTGCGAATGCCGATAACCGTAGCTTGTTTCCAGTCGTCCGGAAAGGAGCAACTGGAGAGTAGTGTTGAAAATGGTCGCCAGTAAACAGATAAGCGGCCCAGGGAGAGCTTTGAGAATTTTATTACTTATATTATCTGGGCCCGGGGCGGATTTCGGTTTTAAATTTTTAATAATATCTTGGACCTCTTCGCGGGTCACTGAATTTAAAGGTTCGCCTTCCGGTGGAAGCGCAGCCCTAGTCTCGATTACGCGGTGGACTGTATCGGTGTGTTCGCGCGATGGCGTACATTGCTGCTCTAGGTTGTCCGCAAGGCATTCGGCTTTTTCGGAGTCATCTAGGGCTACTGAAGCGCTATTAGGTCGAACTAACGGCGGTAGAGATTCGCGGGGGTCTGCTTTCAGATTGCGGGCCAACCGCCAGTAGGCGGTGTGCGATGGCTCGATGTCCTCTAGAAGAGTGTCCAACGTTTTATGTCGGTGTTCCGATACACGATCTTTGACTTCTAGCTGAAGCCGTCGAAGTAGAGTTCGGTTCGATTCCGATCGGTATCGGTCGAAGGCGCGTTTGGCTGCATTTTTCTGTCTAATTAGCAGTCTTAGGTCGGGTGGAAAGTTAAACCGTCGGTCGCCCGACAGTTTCACCGTCCGTTCCGAGTCTGTGACTGCGGAAGTAATAGTTTCACGGAGACTCGCTATCGCTCGATTTGCGTCATCGAACGTAGCTATCGTCTCGGGTAAGTCTACTAAGTCCTGGGGGTCCAAGGCCTTGAGTTTGACCTCAAGACGATGCCAGTCCACTACGGATTTGGTCGGAGGGACCGCGCCGGCGTTCTGGCCCAGTTTACACAGGACGGGCCTGTGGTCTGAGTCTAGTTCATGGATCGGCCTGTGGCCGGTGAGCGCTAACCTACACGCGGATGCCTCTATTTGACTTAGCTCTGGAATGTCGAGCGGGCAACAGTGCAAGGACCGTTTATAATAAATTAGTGTGCCTCCCAGACGGTTTGCTAACGCAAATTACAATTGCGATTCTGGGATCACGTACACTAGGTTTCAAGAATGTCTCTTGTACTAGAAAAATATCTACGTTATGATCGCGAAGGAATTCCGCGATTTCGTCCCTTTGACCCTTTATAAACGCACTCATTTCGGACTGTTGCCAAGAAGCATCTATCCTGCATTTCATCGCTGGATGGTTTTAAATTATCGTAACCATATTCAGCGTCAATTTAAGAATCAATATTCAATAATTTTGCATACATTAAGATACGTCGACCATTAACCTGTCTTATATTTTAATGCGTGGCCGATGAACTGTCCTGTCTTTTGACATATTGTCATATTTTTATCAATTTAGATTCTTGTTCGAATATCTATTTGTACATTCCGCTCGGTATAGTATATTTCGTCTTTGTTTCAAATATTAATGCTTTCTTTGAAGTAATAAGATAACTTTTAATTCGGGAATATTGATGTCAAAAGCAAAAAAACTGTTTAAAAGTAATAACTCCTATAGTAATAGTTGTCCATTGGCTGGGTTCTCGACTCGCATTATATAAATTTAATATGAAAAACTCCCCGTTTACTAATAAGAATTTGAATAAGTATTATACGGCCATGGTTTTCCATGTGTTGTTTATTTATGTATAATTCCCCCTTTTTTTTCTCGCCCTTTAAATTGCATACTATCAGCAGCGCCCTTAACTGTAATGACACTAACAAATAGTTCATGTGACATAACGAACAGACGGTTCACCTGATGTTAAGTGAATACCGCCGCCCATGGACATCTGCCACACCCGAGGGTTACAGATGCGTTGACAACCTTTTAAAAATTGGGCTCCGGCTACCTCGCTCAACAGACGAAACGCGAAAGCATTTGTCATACTTCCACTTTACGCTGTTGTCCTGTGAGGTCGTGGTACCTACCCGGACGGGCCTGCACATTGGTGCAACAGCCGAGGCTGGCTGGCCCTACCACCGTAAACTCTATCCCGAAGCGGCGTTTTAAAAAAAAACGTTTCACATCGCGTCGACCTTTCGATTCGGGTTACCAGGGGACCATAGGCAGCTCCGTCCGACCGCCGCCCACTTCAGGCTCGCGCGCGATTACAACTTAGACGTATCGCTCTTCGAGCGTATGCTCCGCAACGGTCTCCACGCGCGGACGCTCACCACCCAGCGGCGGATGCGCGACGGCTTCGCCCGGCTGCTGGTGCCGGAGATCTACGAGAGGCTCCTCAGCCACCCCTCGGTGCTGGGCTACCCCCGCATAAGGGGGGTGGCGGACGAACTGTTCTTCTACGACCACGACCGGCCCGAAGACAGCGAGGTGAGTTACGCGGTGACCCCCAGTTTTCAAGTTGCAAGCGGCTCCGTTCGCGCCGTTTATTTTTGTTTTAACACTGGCTTCTCGCACGCGGCTTCGCTCGCGTTGAACCGCTTAAATAAATTCCGTCGTTCATGGTCACGGGACAGACAGATTTTACCCTCTGTCTGTCCCGTGACCATGAACGCTGTAAAGGGTTCGAAACGTCGGGAATTAAAAATAAACGCGATAAATCCGTAAAATTAGTTTCATTTATAATGTGTAATCGCGTAAATACAAGAAACTTTATAACCCTTTTTCCAATTAAAAAGCCTATGTCCTTTTTAAGGCTCTAGACAATCCGTGTACCGAATTTCATTTAAATCGGTTCATTATTTTTCGAGTGAAAGCTAGACAGACAGACAGAGTTACTTTCGCATTTATAATATTTGTATGGATTATGGTCTTTAGGGTTCCATACCCAAAGGATAAACCGAGGGGTCTATGTTCGCGTGTTTATTTCGGACATGTTTCTTTTTTGTTTAGAGCTGAACTATTGCTAAGACTCCGCTGTCTGTCTGTCTGTCCGTCTGTCACCAGGCTGTATCTTGTGAACATGTGATAGTTAGACAGTTCAATTTTTCACAGATGTTGACGCTATAACAACAAATACTATAAAACAGAATAAAAAAAATATTTAAGTGTGGCTCCCATTCCCATACAACAGATATGATTTTTTTGCCGTTTTTTATAGATACCCTTCGTGTGCGAGTCCGACTCGCAATTGGCCGGTTTTTTTCTATGTGTAAGTCGCACCTTTAGAATTGAAGGAACCTAATTTAGAAAATCATGATTTTTGACCTTTTCGACTCTTATTAAAACTACATAACGTATACTTCCGTCTCTTTCACTCCCCTCCAATCACCGAATATGTTCATAAGTGCACAAATCTTTATTTTACGTTTCCCAAAAATTGATATTATTTAAATAGGTCACTACTCACTACAATTCTAAAGGTGCGAAATGTGTAAATTGTAAAGCAAGATGGCGGTTCGCCTGATGTTGAGTGATAACCGGCACCCATAGATATCTGCAACACTTGAGTAGTTATAGATGCGTTGGCGTTTAAAACCCGCGGCCAGTTACCTCACTCACCAGGTCTTCTGAGATCGCGGTACTTGCCCGGATGGGCCTGCACATTCTTGCAACAGTAGAAGCTGCTGCGTGCGTTACCGCAGTGTAACAACAACACAGTGATAAAAAGCTTTTATCTAAGTTCAACTGTCCGTAACGGAATCTTGCGAGTTAAATTTGATCCACTTCCCAGTGTCGGATTAAACTGAAATTTGCAGCGCTCGTTTGGCTCTCGTGACAATGCACTATTAACCGCCATATTGGATTAAAAATGGCGGTCCAACATGCAATATGGCGATTTATATTTTCCACGGTGTCCTATGTTATTAGTATCAAATTGAAAATGTTTGTTTTTAATAACTAATAAAAGCTTGTGTTTAAAAAAAATTAAAATTGTGGCAAAGACTGGAAGGAAATTTTAGTGTCCATTTCGATTCAACTTCAGGAAAATATATATAATATTACATTTTAGCGGTGATATTGCGTCTACCAAATTGGAATCAATTGATTTACATACATATAAGCACAAAATGAGAGAACCAAATAATTGGTTCAATCCAAGGTTTAAGACACGTGTACTATGTCTCTTAAAACTAACTCTCTTAAAACTAACTCCTTGGGAATGGTTGTTGGGTCCCAGTGTATTGACGTGTACTTTGTATTAACTGATGTTTTTGCTTTTAATACAAGTACAAGACAAGATTGTCTTTGGTACAAGGCGGTTTTGGACTGAGCTTCCGGATATTATAATACACGTCAATACACTTGGAGCCAAATACTATCGTTTCAACGTCCGCCAACTGAGCCAACCTGTGCAACGCTCGTTCGACAGGACCTGGAAGACAGCTGGAGTCACAGGAACGCCTACGAAGCGGAATGGTGCTTGGCCCTAGCAAACTACCTGCGGAAACGCAACTACTCGTCAGAGGAGATAACAGTACTGGCCACATACGCTGGGCAAGCCGCTCTCATGAAGGGCGTAAGATTGATTATATTATTGTTTTCGCAAGCATCTTTCACCAGAATCTATATAAATCTACTATCGGACCCGACTTTGTCCTGTACACACGACGCTAATCCGAAAACAAATTGTAAGAAAAAAATTAAAAAAAAAATCTAAACCATTTTCGAATCGACCCGAAGACACAAAATTTCATTAAAAGCGGACCAGCAGTTTAGGAGTTCAGTGTTCATATACAGAACACACGCACAGAAGAATTATATGTATATATAAAGATATAAAAATTAAATAGATTTGTATAGGTACTTGCTTCAACCAGTTTACCTGAAAGGAATACAATGCTTTTCTTCCAGTTGAGCAAGAAATACGATCTACTGAGGGGCGTTAAAATCACAGTGGTCGATAACTACCAGGGCGAGGAGAACAGGATAGTCATATTGTCGCTCGTGAGGAGCAACAAGGACGGCAAGATAGGGTTCCTGTCGGCGGGCAACAGGATCTGCGTCGCGATGTCCCGCGCCAAGGAGGGTGCGTAGATTTCCCTTCATATTTCTTCATTTATATTGAAATTCACGCTAAATAACTGTAACTTGGATCTGAATTTAAATTTACTAGTACGATCCTAATCCGATGGGAGCTTATCTCAATGATCTATTTTTTGGTGATAGACTAAATAATGCGATTTTACGTATGTTACGTGAATTTACAATTTAAAGGCAGCTTCGAATTCTGGACACTGATGCTGTAGTGCGGTTAGCTTAGTCACTAACTCTCTATTTCTCTCTCTCTCTCTCTCTCTCTCTCTTTCTCTCTCTCTCTCCTCTCTCTCTCTCGAGTCCAGGCAAGTCGAGCTGCCTCGTTGTGCGTGCTTCGTCAGGGTGTGTTCTCTCTCTCTCTCTCTCACTCTCTCTCTCTCCCTCTCTCTCTCCCTCTCTCTCTCCCTCTCTCTCTCCCTCTCTCTCTCCCTCTCTCTCTCCCTCTCTCTCTCCCTCTCTCTCTCCCTCTCTCCCTCCCTCTCTCTCAGACACACACACATACACGCGCGTGTGCGCACGCATAACACAAATACAAGCATTATCTTCTATAGATGTATAATAATATTCATTTATCAACTACTTTATCACCAATATGTCAGTTAAACTAGTAATTAAAAAATGTAAATCCGTTTTTGGCTATAATTTTAAATTACAACATGTACGTACAACGTAACAAAGAGCTGTGGATTTTTTAATGACCTAAAATAAAATTAAAATTAAAAGATGTTCGTTCATAAGGTGGTCGGACCGTGGCAGTGGCAAAAGATTTACGAAAATTTATCTACACATTATACTTATCTGTCTTATGTTTTATGTCGGTAGTATGTCGATTCACGTGGGTTTTTCTCTACAAAACTTTGTAATCTTAAGAAGGAAGAAGTGTTGGAATCCATTCGGAACAGTATATGTTATGCGTGCGCCAATTTCAGGTTTCTACATCTTCGGCAACATGGCGGCTCTCCGATCGGCCAGTCCGATATGGAGGTGCATTGGGGACAAGCTTCGCGCTCAGAACGCTATCGGTGGCAGATTTTCGCTGCGATGCGACACACACGCGGAAACATCTCACCATGTACGTATTCGAGAATTAGAGACAATATATATTTTACCAATTAGAATATAATTTAAAAAAAAAAACCCGACTGCGTTTCCGTGTAATTTTTTATTTTGATAAACCCAGTAAATACGAATGTAACGACCCCTCTCAAGCTAAAATCCATCAAGCCGTTCAGGCGTGCCATAAGTATACATACATACATACTCTCGATAAACATAACCCTCCTTCTGGCGCGGTCGGGTAATTACTATTAAATTTTATAGATGTAATGAGTGGTAGATTGACGTGGTACGGACACATTATGAGAAGGATTAAAGTCATGTGACTAGAATAGTGTTGAATATGAATGTGGTTGGAGGGTGCAAAGCTAGAGGAAGACGGAGAAAGCAGATGCTTATTATTTGAGCATTGCTCTTTTATTAGAAAGAGACGAACAGAGGATCGCTGCGACTCGAATGGAGTAGGCATAACGCTATTTCGTTACGTGACGATTTATCAAATCGTACCTCCGCAATTCGCTTCAAGGCAATTAGTTACAAAAAACGAGGGCCATAATTCCCTGCTAATCTTCAATACATACATTAGAAGTTCATTGCACTCGAGGGATTTTCAGCCATCAGTCGATATCCGCAAAAGTCTAGATAAGGAGGACCATTACACTAATGTATGAGTCAACTTTACACTCTGTCAATCCGAAGTGAGTAATGGACACAATTGAACAATTTATCAGCGCGCTTCGCTACACAAGATAAATCCTCTTCTACGTGGAAGAAAACGTAAGAACCTCCACATAAAAAATTACGTATAATCTCAACATATATTGAACTAAAACATTAAAATGATTTTATTCATCTATTTTTAGATGCATGAACTATCAAACACTTACAGCTCTAGACATATATGTAGATGTTATGTTATGTCTCTAAGGTTTTTTTTTTTTTTTAATATGAAAAGTTGCCAAGCGAGCAGACGGTTCACCTGATGTTAAGTGAATACCGCCGCCCATGGACATCTGCTACACCCAGATGCGTTGACGACCTTTTGAAAATTGGGCTCCGGCCACTTCACTCGCCAGACGAAACGCGAAAGTGTTATACTTCCACTTTACGCCGGTCTTCTGTGAGGTCGTGGTACTTACCCGGACGAGCCTGCCCGTTCGTGCAACAGCCGAGGCTGCTGCGTGGCCCTACCACCGTAGAAGGTATTTTTTGTGGGTGATAGCTCATTGTCTGGACTCTCGCTTTTAACTCCATATGCTCGAGCAACCTGAGTTCGATCCTCGGTGCCGGCACCAACGAAATAGTTAATTTTAAGTGCTGAATTATCACGTGCTCAACAGCGAAGGAAAACATCGTGAGGAGACCTGCATATTTTCGAAATAATAACAAAAAGCAATATTTCGAAGATATGTGAAGTCCGCCAATCCGCAGTGGGGCCGCGTGGTGGACTATGCCCTGATATCCTCTGTACAGAGTAGGCCTTTGACCACCAGTGGGACATTATAAGCGGTAACCTTACTTCTGGTTTTAGATACATTTTATTACAAAGCATGCATCACATTCATCACAGTTTCATCTCATTTCTGCACGTTTGGCTGCACAAACGAAAGATAGAATTATTTTACAGTTCCTAGTCTCCTTAAACCCTTCCTACTAAGATAATAATGGCATATTTAAAGTGAACATTTGTTACAGATCGACCGCTACGAGGAGTTCAACGTCTGCTTAGCCCCGAACGGCGTCTGTCTGAAGAGTTGTATAACTTGAAATAAACATTCTCCAAATCGTTATTTACGTATTTTATTATGAACTAGCGACCCACCCCGGCTTCGCACGGATGGATGTATTATACATATAAACCTTCCTCGTGAATCACTCTACCTAGTAAAAACCGCATCAAGATAAGTTGCTTAGTTTTAAAGATCTAATCATACATAGGGAGAGACGGACAGCAGGACGACTTTGTTTTATACTATGTAGTGATACACACAACCCATATACGACCATCTCTTAGGGAGATCCTTACCCATTAGCGAGAAGTGCTTCTTGAGTTGACACAAATATTTATAATTTTTAAGTAAGATGGTAGCCTGGTTTACGTAGTAACCCTACACTTCGTAGCATTTCGATCAAGGGGCTTTAAGATGCTCTTTTTCAAAATTCATTCTTGTATATTAACTGCCGCCTCGTAACCATATCCAACCAAACTAACGGTCGTTTAAAAACGGATACATGTGGCCATACTGGCTACCCTGTTAATAAATCAACAACAATAGTATTAAATTAACAGAAAATAAATAATTCTATTGCTAAAAAGGCCTACACATATCGAAATTTATAAAGTTATGAGTCATAAGATTAGAAATTTCGATCATAAGTTATGACAAATTATTCATATAATTTTATTATTAGTAATTCCGTTTGACATTCATTAATTAGTGTCATTAAACTTATCTACATATTATAAATTGATAGTAGTCATCATCTCAGCTGCGTGCGGTATAATTCCATAATCAGTGCTAAAGGCTGTTCTTCAAGTTTTAATTAAAAGCATATCTTACGGATGATAAAAGGAACACAAAACAATGATAAAGTTTAACATTTGTCGGTCGAAAATTTAGTTAAGTTATCGTTTAACGATTCCTCATTTAGGATTTGTACTTCAGCCTAAGAGCAGGGTTAAAACCAGCTGATTGTCTAATATGGTGTATTTATAAACTATAACTTGTAACCTCGGAAGACTCACGGCCGGTTTCTGAAACACTGATCATCGTAGATGTCAACTAATCAGCTGTCAAATAGCTTTTCAATTTCATTTTAGTTGCCAAAAGGATGGTTAAGCTCTTTGAATTGATCATCCTGATCATCAAGAAGATCATTCTGGTCAATTCGGAGAGTTTATCTGTGCTTTTGGCAACTAAAATTAAATTTGAAAAGCCATTTGACCGCTGATTAGTTGACATCTACGATGATCAGTGTTTGAGAAACTGGGCGTGATCATCGTAGAAATTAACTAATCAGCTGTCAAATGGCTTTTCAAATGTTATTTGAGTTGCCAAAAGGACTGTTAAACTCTCTGAATTGATCAGAATGATTTTCTTAATGGTTAGAATGTTTAGTTAGCCCCGGTGCTGAAGTCAATAGCGAAACAAGTCATCAACATATAACAAAACAAAGAAACTGCACACAACTGTTTCAAAAACAGTATAGTCGAAATGGGGCCTATGTGGCCTATATGGGGCCTGTTCGGACTGTTCCTATACAGTGCGCAAAAACGTAAAACTATGCAATTCAACCAGTAACTATTAATTACTACAAAAACTTCCTTGACAACTGTTCTTTTTTTTTTTACTAGATCGAGACACTGTATATTACATAATTATAGCAAAAAAATGGTTAAAATGCAGTCACTTCACCTCTAAAGTTTTAAACATAGTGCGAAACTCTATACAAGTTCGAATTTAAATGAAACACAGACATTTAAAATGCAAATATATTTTTACCTTTTCAATGTAAACGTTGACATGGCGAGGTCTAGTGTCAAATGGAAGTCGACAAACAAAGCAGGACATTGTGTCACTATGATAAAAATAGTTGATGTTAATTTGCAAGTCATCTTATGGCTTTTATTTTAAAACTGCAGTTGAAACAACTGAAATAACCTAACATGTAAATCACACTACAAAAATATAGCTAAAACTCACATTGAGAACTAAACTTAATTATATTGACAATAAATAAATCGTATAACTAAGGAAAGACAACGACTAAAAAATATACGTTATACATACACATAATGTAGACAATAAGGTATTGATTTTATTCCAATCGCGATAATTTATGAGTTCTGTGATAATGCGGAGTGTCCGCCTAGAAATAGCAAAACTAATAAATACTCCTTATTGGAATTATCAGCTCTATAACTTCCTATATTTTTTCTAAAACGTCGGCACTAAATCGTATTGCTTATTTCTTAAAAATAATTCAATAGCACTTAAAACATTGTCGAACACTGTATTTCCAATTTTATTATTATATTTTTTTTTCTTATACCATACAACAGCACAAAGATAGGAATGCTTATTGCAAAGGGATTATTAAATTAAACATTACGTTCCTTTGGTGCAATCAAATGAAAGGATTGAATGATTTAAGTAGAATTAACTTGTGACATCATTTCTGGTATTTGAATCAACACTTAAAACTGTTAACTTCGGCTACTGACTGTGATTCAGGAAAGAATTCGCTTGCCCGTCGGAGTACCTCACAGAAGACCGAGGTGAACTAGAAGTGTTTTACTTTAGCATGTCGTCCGGTGCATCTGCCACCCGCGGCGGCTATCACTTAGCATCAGGTGAACCACCTTGCCACGATAAGTCAGACATCTTTCCCTGAATGCGATAGTGTTCGAAAGGCGAAAATTTAAAATACTAAAACCAAACATGACGAAATCTGTAAAAAAAAAAAGAAGTTCGATTGTACTGCCCTTTTGACCTACAACCCGTTTGGTTGTTACCTTCATAGTACGTGGTAAGGTAGACTTAATTTTTGAATGTCATACATATGTACGTATTTTGGAGACGGAATGAACGTTAGAATGTTAGTTTTAATTAGTAGAACATTATACAGAGGTTAGTAAGAAACGCATTGTACACTTTAGTGATGTATTTGTAGAAAAGGTATATCGATATCGATCAATTGAAAATTGCACTTCACGTAACGTACTTGTGACAAAAGTGACATAAACACATTCGCAAAGTAATAAATACTGAAAGTAATAACAAAATTAGCGCGTAAATCTATATTTAACAATGTGATATCTTAGTAGTATCTTCTTATGTGAAAATGTTGAAATATGACTTGAAATAATACCTCAATACAATCATAGAATCGATGAATATTAGTAGACATTAGTTAACATTATAACTGGCCGTATCACATCACGCCAGTAGATTAAAGCGGAAGGTCACTAAGCCGATCACCTTGAGTTTCGCTATAAATATAGTACAATAAGTTTATCACTAAACAAAAAATCCACAATTTAAGATGCAGCCAGCAATTCTGCAATCAAAATGATATTTAACCACTTATCACACAAGCAGAAAAACTATAATTTGAAATTATTAAGGAAGAGATGGATGGATAAAATACAAAGCTTTCTTTATCAAGCCGTGAGACTAATTGATGCATAATATAATTGATGTAAAATCGAAGCTATCTGGCTAACGAATTTGTTATCTAGGCGCGGGACTTTGATCCAGCGTATAATTACATCGATAGATATGACAGCGAGAACAGGCATATTAACGATAGCATTACACTATTAAGCGTGTTACTAACAGATTTTAAGAATTTTAAATAGCTGTTTAATATTGGCAAATTTCTAAAACAGTATTAAAGGCAACAATATACTTATGTCTTCCTTCCGTTAATTCTTTTTCATATTTCTCGTACAATTTTTTAATCTGTCGGCCGTTTAAACATCGGTTGTAGTTAACGACAATATAATTGCAACTTTGTTTGTCGGTCAAACGCCCGTTCCAACGTTCTATCTTCAGATTGATTTGGTTACTGGAGATAGAACTGACTTAAGTATTATGGAGCTAACGTCAAATACTTATCTTTACTAACCTTGTTCAGTGTTAACGATACCAGCATCAACTGTTTGTCAGCCTATCAAGAAACTAGATTTAAAGTCGCCTCACGACGACTCGATTAACCTATCAAGTGCGCATTAACTAACTACGAACCTCATCACAATTTATCACAACGGTATCATTATCTATTACGTCTAACATTGCTCTAAGAATTCTTCTACGATGTCTATTATATTCTCTGGAGCGTTCAGCTGCACGTGGTGGGTGCCCTCGACCTCCACGTACCTGACGTCCGTCGTTTGCTTCAACTTTTCGACCACCGCCTCGTAATAGTCGAGCCTCTCCCAGTTCTGGCCAGGTATCGCCCTGATATTCAGCACTTTGCACTTGACCTTCGCGGCGTACGCCAGGGCTGTCTCCAGCGACATCATCGCCAGACCGGCCACCTTGAGCCTGGGGTCCCTCTTGAAGTGGTAGCCCTTCTTCTTCATGTGCGCCGCCGTCGGCGCCATGCCGCGCCTCATCAGCACCTTGCAGTTCTCCCTCGACACGGAGCCCTTGTAAGCGTCCACCACTATGTCGATCATCTCCTCGTAGTCGTAGCACGGCACCTTGTCCTCGGAAAGGGTTTCGTACTCCAACACCTTGTCGATAGACCAGCCGGTCGATTTCACCATGTTCTCCGGCACCCTAACGGCGGGGCTGGCGATGTCAATGCATATTATCCTCTCCACGTCGTCGGGGAATGACGCGGCGTACATGAAACTGAGGGCGCCGCCGAGCGAGTGGCCCATTAGACTGATCTTGCTCCAGCCGTAGTGCTTCACGATCCTGCGCAGGTGGGCGATGCCGTCCCAGAATATGTAGTAGAGCATGCCGGTCGGGTAGTGGGAGGAGAGCCCGTGGCCGGGTAGGTCGATGCACAGGACGGACGTGGCGGGGGGGAGGAGAGGTATCAGGTTGTCCCAAGTGCCCGCGTTGTCCTGCCAGCCGTGGATCGCGATCAGCGGCTGCTGGTCCCTGGGCCCCCACCATCTGCCGGCGACGTGGCCCCACGGCACCGGGATCTCGACTTCCTCCACCGTAACTCCAGCGGGCAGCTCTGGAATTGAACGAAATCAAACCACTGGCTGAGACGAAGGACTGATAACCAATATATGTGATAAAGTAACCCATGATGGGAAAAGCATCGGGAACGAGTGATCTTGCCGATACGTAAATTATGTCTCAAACTGAACAATATTTTTTTATTTCAAAATAAAAAAATGACTTCAACTAAATTCCTCGCGCGCATTTAAAGACGAACAAATATTCCAAACTTTATAACCGATATTTAGGCTTAAACAAAAATTAAGACATTAAAAAAAAATTACCTTTGTCTCAGACGTCGAAACATAAAAAATATTTTCGTTACACAACTTGACACATGGCTACGTAACCAACCTCCGTACTATATACTCCGTATACAAGGAGCGAGCATTGTTTTTAATTTAAATACATTAAGCAATATCGATTGTGCCACTAAGCTTAGTGGCTAAAGAGGTTCAGGAGGAGGTATTTTTCACGGATAATCACGGAATCAAGGATCACTCCGAATACAAAACAATCCTTGAGTGCTGGAATCGTCTATGCATTGAAAAATGGCCTTTATTTTAATAGATGGATAAATGAAATTTATAAATCATATAATCTCTGTGCAGATGTTATTGGGCATAATACACAATGGAATTCACTTATTTTCGAAAAGTTTCCTTTTTAATTTTTATTTCGAATATTGTATATTACATTACACACATACATTATCGACATGTGATTATGTTTACGTGACTTAAGTGTGATCACGACTTATATTTGACTCGCTTAATAGTCTGCATTTACTTTTTCTTCTTGATACGATTTGCAATATATGCAGTTCGAGCACATATGCTTTTTTATTTCAAAATGTAACATTTTTGGAAAGATTAAAATATGTAGAAAAAAGGAACGAAAAGTTTCTCGCCGCTGTGGGAATCGAACCCACGTCCTGGATTCGGGCCCTCACGCTCTAGCCACTAAGCTAAACGGCAGATTGCCACACCGACGAAATTCTCAACGTCATATCTACATTGTTTTCGGAACAATAAAATATTATTGTATACAACACTGATCTACTAAAATACTGACACATGTACAAACTGTATCTGTAATAATGTAATGATCATTTAACACATTAGATTTCTAACTTCGATCTTTGTCTCAACTTTATAGCGTCATGATATTGATAATTCAATATAAGTATCGGCACTAACGTGCGGCATGACTGGCATAAGATAAATTACTTGTAAAAACCATAGTAAGTGATTGTAAATTCCAAGTACAACAAACTACTATGGTAAATGTAAATAACTTTGACGTTCGCGTAATACAATTGAAATTAATTTTAAACGATAGAGAAAGATCACTAATGAATTAATCAACAAGCAGAATTCGCCAGTCGCTTATAGTTTGCGAAAAAATAAATAATGAAATAGTGTGATTTTGACTATAGAAATCCGCCATTATTTTAATTGAATTAAGCCAACGTCAATGTTAAAGCACACTGACGTTTGACATTTGCCCAAACTATAATTACTTAATGAACAAAAAATGATAAAAAGAGAAGAAAAAATCTTGATAATTAATTTCACCAAATATTTTCAGACTTTCTTACGTAATTTTCAAACATATATTGTAATAATAATTGAGTGATGTAAATTCTAGTACTCTTTCTAGCATGCCTGCCATATAAATGGCCCAAAATTATGTGCTAATCCGAAATCAATTGCCTTTGTGATCACCTGTTTCTAGATAATTTTAGACCTAGTATATTGTTGAGAATCATGTGAAGTCCGTTCTTTTTCTTTTAATATAGACTCCTTGATTCTCAGGGCAGTCCATGATACACGGAACAACCTACGCCAATACCACATCCCTAGTGCACCATTTACTGCTGTTGCAGCTTCTTAGATTGCATGTTAGCGCGCCATATTATGTTGCCGCACTTGTTCGCACAAAAAGGCTACTTGATACTTTTCTAAAAAATACATTTTGGAAAGCAAACATTGATGTGCCAGAATCCCTCCCTCTGAAACTTGAAATATCAAGATGTTTGTTGGCAGGCCTTCATCCTTTCATTGTTGACATCTTCTCAATCAAACTAAATGGGCTTCTTCATCATTCAGGAGATATACAGCTCATAAATAAAACAATGCATGCCAATAGTGTGAGTGTTTTTATCAGAGTATAATTAAAGCCTAATTATAATCATGCAAGCTTCGCTTCATGGAGTGACGACCTGTGCAAATGTGCGGGAAGTCGAAGGATGCAGGTGGCTCAGGATCGTACTTCGTGGCAGTCTATGGTCGAGGCCTATGTTCAGCAGTGGACTCAAACAGGCTGAAATGATGATGATGATGATGAAGCTTCGCAAAAACTTCCGCATAGAGAATGTTGGAAATGTAGCCTATAATTAAACTTTTTACAATCCTAAATCATCAATTATTCAAAAAATGAGACGAATGTATTTATCACTATAATAATTAAAAAAGAATTTTATTTATTTATGTGATTGCTAAATTGAAATCTGTATTTTCTGTTTCTAGTAAAAGAAGACTTAAAGCGGATAAAAAGGTTTAGAGCATTCATAGTAGCAAGCAAGTAAGTGTCTTGCACTGATGCAAAGCAGAGAGGTGATTAGGAAAAGTTAATCCTTTCACAAAGTGAAATGGTCAGCCATGATATTTATGTTAATTCCTAATAATGATTTATGGTATTTACATAAATACTACATTATGACCATATTTCAGTGGCAAAATTAATTCCAGAATGTTAGAAAACATGACACTAACTGATTTTTTAAACGTAACAAACTTTCCAAAACATTTTACCTCAGAATAAATCTCTTCTAATTAAGTGACCCACTACTTGAGATTAACAGATGAGATATTACAATAACGGTCTAAAACTTGGCGATTATTTAAAATTCTACCGAAAACTTTGTATAAAGACCCGATAAACCATCATCGTAAATACATACCATAAAAACTTACTTATTTCTTAATTTTCCCGAATATATTACTATAGGCACAATTTTATTATTTTTTAAATAGGAAGGTGTTACTTACCAAAATCAGTTTTGTGTCCATTTGTCTTTTCTTGACTCATTTTCGTGATATTATTGAGGTGTTTGAATCAGTCACTTATTAAATATTACATAAAGTTTATTATATCCAAATTTCCGTTGAACAGATTTCGCTACTTCTATAGATAACAACTATGTGCACACAATAAATAAGTCAACCCAAGATACGTTTTACGTATACGTCGAAGTAAATAATGTCAAATTATTATTTCATATTTTAATGTTAGACTGCAAAGTGCAAAGCAAACGCACTTCCAAAAAATACAACTATCTACTACTAACTGGACTGACAGCTGGCTGACTGATGGATGACAAAGACTATGTATACTGGAAATTAGGGATGAGGCGTATATACTGGAACAGGTATAAATACCCAGTATGAACATGCCAGTACGCACACCGGGTATGTACGGCAAAGGCCCCTTCCATACCCGATAGGTATGGCTGGGTATGGCCGCCTCGTCGGACGGTGGCGGTATATAACGCTCGTGACAACCCGCCCGCATACCGGGTATGACGTATGTACGGCAGAGGCCCGTTCCATACCCGATAGGTATGGCTATGGCCGCCTCGTCCGACGGTGGCGGTATATACGCTCGCGACAACCCGCCGGCCGAATAGGTACGAAGTTCCCCGAACGCTTACGGCGGCTCTTTCCGATCATGCCCGAATTGAAACGTATGATTTAGGCATTTTATACCAAATATTTCCTTGAGATAAATTTATTCTTTATTTCTATGACAATTAGGTAGATAAATAATTGCGTAATAAGATTAAACAGTAATATTTATTTTGAATTACTTTTTTTTTATAATAGGGTTCTTTACGTTGGTAAAGATGGAGCTTAATTTAGACTGATTAAATCTCAATTAAAAAAAAATGATTGCTAAAAAAAACATCTAAATGTTCCAATTCCAACCAAATAAAGGTTCAATTCCATACCGGGTCTCCATTAGGAGGCCTGAACATAACTAATACCTATAGGTATTTTGATACTGGGTTTTAGCACCGGGTATACGGCGATACCCGTACCTTTGAGGCCGGGTATAGAATGTTGCAGGTATATCTCATGCCTACTGGAAATAGACAGGCAACTCGTTTTTTTGCTGTCAAACATGCGCCTCCTGGTATTCAAATGCGGAACTAAAATTGATAAATATAGCTATAGCTACATATAGCTAGCTAAGAAAGTAGTTACTAGGGATTAAAAATTTTAATAAGTTCGATTTACCACAAAAATTGGACGTGTAAGTCCAATTTTTGTGGTAAATCAATATATATAATAATTTTAAACAGAATTAATTTATTTACAAGTTCCCATAACAATTAAAAATCTGTGACATTTATTATATTTGACTTTAATATTAAAGTACCTGATACAAAAATAAATTAATAAATAAAAGAAGTTGAATCATTTTAAGCAGTTTATTTCAATAATTAATTAAGACATAATTCAGTTACACGTCTGTCTTAATTTACATACATAGACTCCTATCATTTCTCAACAAACCATAACATAAGTTTTTATTATATTTTGAAGTTTTAATTAACAACACATTTATCAATACTTCTTTTTATCTTTTTCTTTTCCTCTCTTTATTTTTCAAAAAATGATTGTGGGCTGAATTTTAGCCAATTAAGGCATTTAAGGCAATCTTTCCAGTGAGAACATAATTGACATCTTTACACAATTTGTGAAAAAAGTTTTGTACATTTGTTTAGTAAATAATTAAGCAGCCTTTCTTTATGATATGAACAAGACAGAAAATTTAAATCTTAATTAGTGTTTATTATCAATTTAACATACTGTGAAATGTAATTTTCTCAATGTAATTTCTCAAAAGAGTTCTCCAATGCATCCTAATTGAAGTTTTACACAAATAAATAACTTATATCCTTGGAATTTAAATATTTCAATAGTACTCGGAAACCTATAGTAATTTATTCCATAAATGGTGATGTGGCGTGGCAGTTAATGCTGCTCTATTAAGTTTTCCTTTTTGAACTTCACTGAAGCTGCCATTCACACTATTGCACAGGTCATCAAATAAAACTGACAAGTTATGGTTTCAATGCTCTCCTTAGGTAATTTTCCACATTCTGTAATGAAAAGAAATATAATTTATTTATTTTTTATCAATAAATCAATAATAACATTCAGGGACATTCTTTACACATGGTCATCTGATACCAAACTGAGCAGAGCTTTTACTAATGGTAAGTTGATAACTGACATACATGATTAAGTATAACATACACTATTATAATACATACATGTATAAATTTACAACCAATTCAGAAAAAGTAAACATTTTCAAACAAGCACACAAATGTTTGTCCTGGGTGGGAATCTAAGTGACAAACAGCGGTGTAGTCTGGGTCCCGTAAATCGTAACCCGTAAACGTATTGTTTACTCAATCACACTACAACAGTATTATACCGTACATGAGATTCATTCGATTTGTAACATTAACACACAAGTTTGCATACCTGCTACGAATCCAAGTGCCACACCACGACTTACTCAAGACTCTCAAGACCTGCGGCGTGCAGTGTTTCACTTCACTCAGAAAATTAACGAACGGTATCATAATTTACAATAAAATTGTGCGTGCACGATTCGAAATATCAAAATAATGAACAACAATAATTGTCATTAATTTTTCAAGTGATGCTGCCATATCAAACAGAGCAACCACCCCGCATTTAAAACGTTTTATTAACAAAAAATTGTCTACATTTGCTTTAAAATAAGAAATGAAGTAGACGAAAATAAATATTTATTCAAATATCTCTTTTTTTTTGTTCTTTGTTTCTCAAAAAACATTATTATATATTAATTTTATATGTAAAATCTCCATAGGATTTATTACTATATTTTATAATGGCAGCACTATGTATTTTAGTATTTCATTTGTCTCCCAGATGGCGATGTTCCGAAATTTTCTTGAAGTAGTTCTATGTTGCCTTAACATGATGGATGAAATGAAATGAAAATGACATAAAGAATAGTGTGACCATGTTATTTAAATATAGTTTATTACAGAATAAGAAAATATTTTTATTGGCTAGTTTTTTTCGCTAGTTTGTTGCTACGCATTTATTTTTGGACACCCAGGCTTTACCAGCTTCGTTGGAAGAGGTCCACAAACAGACAATCCATGGAATTTGAAGAACATCGTAGCTAATGCACGACGACCATACTTTGACGCAATCTACACCACTGCATCTACGCGACCCCTATACGACAATAAACAATAAACAATGAGGGGATGGCACAATATTATCCAAGGGCATGTATTTTATACGTATCGCCTAAGATGGGGATTATAACCCTGCTTTAAGCCGTAATCGATGGTGTATACAGAAGGAACACAATATACAACATATATTGTATTCCTTCTGTATACAGAAGGAATAATCCGTTAAAAATTAAGATCGCAAATCAATATTGTTTTAGGACATAAAATACATGAAAACACTTTATTTATGTAAACGATTAATTAATAAAAATGTAACTAATTACGTAAAAAACAATATTTACTCAAACACACTAGCTAGCAATGCCAGACAGACCCGTTAAAATCATACGATATTACTTGTAGAAACGTCATTTTCAATTTCAATTCGTCCACAAACCTTGAGAGCGGACGTTCTCCAAAGGTTTTCTCTATACAGCAGTGACATCTCTAGAACCCTAAGCAAATATTTTGAAAAGTGGCGGATCCAAGTCAACCCGGAGTAGTCAGTTGGACTATCACTGAAAGAAAAAATTACAATATTTTTATTACAATATTTGGCGAACCCATTCCATCAAAAAGCAAAGCCCAATATCTAACCATTACTGTAAATAGCTAGATAAAAAACGGATACAAACATCATTTGGAGCCGAGATATTAACAAGTACACGCGAAATTCACGTCGCCCGTTAGAAAACTGTTGTTCTCAGATAACTCGTTATAACACTGACTGCTATCGTATTTGTGATAATCCTTACCAGGATTACGCCTAGTTCAAAAGTTCTTTTCGGAGTTGTTCTAAACACAATTTCGCCGTACAAGTAAGTCAACGCCGTAAGGATGTTATCACCATAGGCAAAAAGATGAAATGTTTAATATCTCACCTGGTATCCCACACACGAAGATCTTATAAGACGCAATTTATGTATACAATGCAGGTATGCCCATACTGACAACGTAAGTGTCTGTTCCGCATTGAAACCGCTTTTATTCATCAAAATAGATTTCTTTATCGTGCAAATGGTGCACCGTGGTATATTCAGAACGCTGAAATGTATTGCGACCTTAAAATCAAATACTTCACCGGACGCCCGGCAGATGTTAAAAATTCAAATTAATTTATGAACTTGTAATTAATAAAAAATAATAGGGAAAATATGAATGAAGAGTAGAATTTCTATAATTAAATTCATACATTTTTCTCATTATTTTAATAATAATTATGTTACTTGTTTGTTAATTATTTTGATAATTACAGAACATATTACATTGTTTTATAAAAAGCAATAAACTTGAAATTGTTAATAGAGACCAGTTTGAAATTAATTTAGATTTTTGGTTCACTTGATCGTCACTGTCATATTTTTATTAATATTAATATAGATAACAATATTAAGATTATTCGTAACAAAGAAAATACAATACGTTTAAACGGACAGCAAATGTGTTAAATATAATTATAGTCCTATAAAAATAGTACACAGCTTATACAGAGAAGCCAAGAAAACACAATATGCGAGCACACACATACAAGAGTGTCTAAGGGGGGCATGATAACATCAGAGCGTTATGCCGTTTGCCTTGACGGCAAAACAGACGATTTTACTGCTATGTGCCAATAGATGTTTCACATCAATAAATGTCAGCAATCCAATGGTTGGCATTCGGTAACTAGCCAGCACCCCCACGAAGCGTGCATCCAAGACGCCATCCTTGACATAGATGTTCTAGACATCTTCAGAGGAATCCTGAAGACGAATTGACGCGCGTAGTAAATAATGTAACTCTTCCACCACCAGAGAACAGTTCATCGTGGTGGCAATAGAGTTCCAACGGGCCAATGTCTACTACATTCTACAAGCTTCAGCTGTTGCGCGATTGGACAGGCGCGTCCGATAAAGTACCACGCCCTAACAGAAGACTGTTGTGAAGTGTAAGTTTTAAACTTACGCGTTTCGTCGAGTGAGTAAGGTAGCCGGGACAGACCTGTCTTAAAGGTGTAAATATGCAAGCAATTCAACACGCAATCTGGCTTGACAACTTTTCAAATAAAAATCGTGTACGAAGTTAGCTCAGATGGAAGTGTGAAATTGTGCCTGGAATTGCGATTTAATCACAAGATATGCCTACTTTGAAACCTCGTTTATGAAAATATTATTGCCAAACATTTGTTTGCAAGAGTTAAGTTATTATATGAATTCTTCGAAATGTGAGCGAACGATGGTATGCAGACTTGCTATTAAACAATAATTGGGTCCTCGGGTTTGCAGTTGAACGAGCATTGTTGAACCATGGTGCCCCGATCGGGGTATCGATCGAGGACTTCTTAGATCCTCACCAGATTCCTTGGGACGAAGTGTTATTGGAAAAATGTAATTCACAATCTTTCAATAGAATATACAAAATACATATAGGTGTTATTGGAAAAATTGTATGGTATACAAAGTAAAAGATACAATTTTTAATACTTATTGAACTAAAAGAAATAAATTTTAATTTGTCACATTTCTATTTTTCACACTAAGTACTCGTTATTATAACACTATTATAAAATGACTGTGAAATAAATATGTTTGTTTTTTGTTCTTTACATAAAAACAGATTAAACAAATGGGCAGTTTTATGGTGGTAGTCAGGGTGTTCACGGCTTAAAAGAGACTATGCTACATTAATATTATCCCAAGAGCATTTTTCTATACGTTATTAAGAGGCGGCAACGCATCTGCAATCCTACGGGTTTTGCAAATGTCCATGGGCATGGCGGTTATCACTTAACATCAGGTGAATCGCCAGCTCGTTTGCTACTTCCGCACATTAAAAAAAAACATTTTTCTTTATATTTTTATTTATAGTTATCGTTATTTTGTCAATATTATAGTGGGAAGCACTAAAATAAAAAATGTTACATCTGGATTTGAATGCCAAATCGATTGCAGCGTATCGTCTCTTTCTAGTACACTACTAAGTATTTTTATGTATAATTGATTAAGCAGTGTGACTTTTTAAAAACATTCAATTCAATACTCGTTCTAGAGGGTTGATAATTGCTCCGAGGCTAGCAGTGTTTAAGAAGTATTTACAGTCCATAATTTCTGTTTCTATGAAGGTATTAAATACGATATTTGAATAATTTGTATTAAATTTAATCGCATTGAAGTATTTAATTCAATTTTAATACAACCAATTAAATACCGATTTTATAAAATAAACTGTTCGAATACTTGACATCTTTACCATAAACTTAAAAGCGTATTTTTCTGTCTGTGTATATTGATAGTCTGTCCTTGCTTGATACAACTGAAAAGTGAAAATTCGGCATTCGGATTCGTGCAAAAAGTGAAGAAAGATACGAGATAAGTGTAGCCTGGTGGCAAGACATTAAACTGCAAAAACCGCTACGTTGACAAAGTTTGTTTGATAATGGCAGACAAGAGGAAAACTAAAAAGCGTAAAGAGGTATGGTTATAAACATTTGTTTTAATTAACTATACATTTTATGACAGTAACGATCATTACGATAAAGTTATATGCGACGACTATTTTGTTTGGCTGCATATCTACGGCATTGTATACATTTTTTCGTTTTTTAATAAATTAAATTTTCTTACGCCTGGCTTTTTGCCTAAACTCTGTCTATTTGTCAATATACGTCGTCAAAAGCCATTGTGCGTTTTATTATGAAAGTGACGCAGTTATTTTCATTTTTGTTAGTATATTACGTTGCAGAATAAAACGTGCTATTTTTGTCTTCATCTTTTCTTTATTCGTTTTTGTTTCTTTTTATTGTACTTATTACCTAAATCTGTACAAAAATCATCTTACTAAATATGAAAGATGTAGGAATACGTAAAAACGCAATTATTTATTATTCCATTTTTTTATTACCAATTATTTAAAAGTAGGAATAACGTGCACTCCGTCTTGTAAAGAAAAATTAAAAGTAGAAACTTATGATTGTTTTTGTTTCTTTTCAGAAAAGAAAGGTTTGATTTTATTTAATTTCCACTTTGTAGTTTTCACTTGTAATATTTTTCACGCTTTTAGTTTATGGATACTTATAGTTTTACTTTGTAGTTTTATTTTTTCGCGTGATTCGAGTTCTGTTTCCATATTATAATATTTTTGTTGTTTTTTAACATGCATTTAATTTATCACATTTCTGGGTGTTTGTAGATGGAAAGTTTGTTTAGTTACCTTTGTTTGTGATTACAAGCTTTATTATGTAGGGGCAGTTTTGGGAATTCATAATTTGTAATTTAACCAGCCGTGGAGTGCATGAGAAAAGAAATATTGCCTTTTAAGTGTGTAGTTTAAAATTAAGATAATTAAACTTTAATAGAATGTAGCGTGGAGAACCCATTGCACAGGCACCACCTCTTGCGGAGGCTTGTGGTTGCTTTTGTGCTTATTTAAGATTATGCTGAATAAAGTTTATTTTTAGTTCTTTATAGATCTCTTGTTAAATTACGCTGGTATACTATTAAACTTTAAAGAGTAATATAGTAACAATTTTTTACTTAAATTGTTTTCAATTTGGTTAAAAAAAAAACTATCACATAATGTGAAATCACTTGTGATGAATGGAAATATGTTATAAAAACATGCACATTGACACAAAGTGGGATAGATAGAAATATTAGTTATAAATTTGCACCAGTCACTCCGTGGGGTGGGCAGAGATGAAAGATTAAGGTATTCCATTTTAGCAGTGATAAGGGAAGATAAAGAATAAATGCACTGGAACACAATACATATATACACATATTATTATTTTTAAACACAAACCAATTTTGCACTCTTGGTGTAAGGTGAGGATGTAATAATTCAATAAATGAAATATATGATTCCTTGCATTTATGCAAATTTTTAGAACAAAAATAACTTAATGGTTTTCACAAAAAATGTGTCTGTCCTATGGTCATGGTTGCTGTAAATGTTTGAAACATCAGGAACTTAAAAACATATTAAATGTGATAAAACCTATACAATAGTTTTATTTTCAAAATGTAATATAGCTTAATTAAGAGCTCAGTGTGGTAATCAATTAGGTTCATTGATCAAATTTAAAATTTCAGTATGACATATGACTGTGGGCTGTAATATAAAAATTCAAAAGTATCGAGAGCTATTTTTATTCTGTTAGTCAATAGCGCATTGAGCACAAAAGACTATCGCTACTCATCATCAGGACATGGTTGTCAAGAAGCATGTCAGTTAGGGCTTCGAAATAATAAACCAAACAGGTCTAAACATTATACTTATTTTTCTTTGAAACATAGCCATGTTTTCATTACAATGTAATTAATCATTAAAGGCCACAATTCTAGCTAACTATGGTATTAAATAATGTTTTTGGACTAAAGTTTCAATTAGAAGTTTAATTGTTTTTCCATAATAGCAACCACAAAAGTATTATCATTAATTTTGAGGTATTGGGTAAATATTTTGCTTGTAACTAGGGGTTTCAACCAACCCAAATTTTTTTTTGTATGTGAAGAGGTGGCAAACGAGCTGGCGGTTTACCTGACGTTGAGTCATAACCGCCGCCCATTGACGTTCGCAATACCCAAAGGGATGCAGATGAATTGCCACCTTTTAATAAGGTGGGCCCCGGTTACCTAACTCACCAGACGAAATGCAGAAGTTAAAAACTTCCACTTCACAATGGATCCACTTCGGCTCTTCTGTGAAGTTGTGGTACTTACCCGGACAGACCTGCCGATTCATGCAACAGTTAGGGCGATGCAACACAAGACTTTTGCATGGCCCTATGACAGTTCTTTAATTTTTCAATTACTATATAGAATTGGAATTCTATTAAAGATAAAACAAAATTTTATACATTTCAGTTTATCTCAAGCCATTTTCATTTACTTTCAAAAATTTGAACTCTAATTTCATTCTGTACCTATTTGAAGTTGTCCAATCAGAGGATTCTTTAAATAATTTTTATAATGTTATTGACAAATAGGACGTTTTTAATTTAGCGCAACATTGAGGTCAAAGTGTTATTACGTCATAACTGTAGCATCTCAGATCAACCTTGACCCTAGTTTCTAGTGTACGTCATTAACAGAAGGAAATGCTGGTTTGAAAGCATGCCGTATAATTACGTTCCCCTCGCGTTATATTTTGGCGGCGGCCTCTTAGCTTCGATTCCAACACTGGACAAGTGTTCGTGAGAACCATACATAACTAATTGAATCTTGGTGTTTTTGAAATTTGTGTATGTAATTTGTTTTATTGTAAATGGCTCAGACCACGTAAAAAAAATCGAAGAAGTAAATTGTATGATGAATAAAATATATACAAATTGTGAAAATAAACATGAATTCAAAAATAATTGATAGTATTTTCATAATGCATATTTCGCCCTTTTTAGCGCATATTTTGGCATTTTGAAAGTGCATATAATACGATGTCTAATGATGATGTACAGACGATATTTCGTATTCCGGTCCACGTGTAATTGATATTATGTTAAAATGTCAATGGAACATTAGATAATCTTATCACAAAAGACAAAACATTAATACGCTGCTTTTTCTATTTCGTAGTACGTATGATGATTATAGGTCATGTTCATTGTTCTTGCGCATGCTTCGATTTTCATATGTTAAATAAATAATTTGAGAATACTATTTAAGGTTAGTTTGTGGTGTTTTGGTATTATAGAATGTGATTCAACTATTAGAATGAGGCGTTTTAGTGACGTCATTTAATCGCGCAGAGATGATTGGCAAGTAGTGATCTGGAAAGAGCCGCTACGCGAGGCTATTGTATTCCAACTGTCGTACTTACTAGCTGATACGGTGACTTTGTTTGCGTTGCATATCACGAGTACATAATATAGTGTTATGAACACACAAAGGAACTAACGCCATCTAGCGTCAACTATTAAAATCACTAAAGAACAAAGACGACATAAAACCCCCTATTCAATACTAGATGGCGTTAGAGGAAGTACTGTGGAACTATAGTCTCGAAAACCGGGTACATTAGCGAACTTTCCGGAATCACGAACATGTTCGGGCGTGTCGGGTACGTTCCAGGAAGGATCTTTCTGGATTAGTCTGGAACCGGTCTCGGCCCATATAAAAAGCCGCGGTGAGGCGAGCGAAGACAGTTCAGTTTGAGCTACCTTCGAGGCGACTTCGGAGCGAAAACTAGTGATCAATAGCGATACCAGTGAAACCTACGACTTGGCTACAAAACAGGACACCGTTAGTGCTTTGTGTTGGACCTAGTGCTATTGAATAAAGTCTTCAAAAGAGTCTTTCTCTCCAAATCCTTCGAACCCCTAACACGTAACAACTGGTGTCAGTAGTGGGATTTGGAGATGCCATTGACTCCGAGAGAGGACTTCAAGGAGGGTGTCAGGACAAGGGCACGAGCTGCAGAGACCACACCCACTGGGGACCAAGCCCCGCCCACTATGGGTCAAGCCCCGCCCACCGACCACGCCCCTCAGACTCCGCCCACTCAGGCCCAAGCCCCGCCCACTCAAGCCACGCCCAAGCCCCGCCCACTTTTGTGCAAGCCCCGCCCACTGACTCCACCCACCGGGACACGACATGCGCACTGGCCACGCCCACCTTGCCACGCCCACCGGCGGCACCACAGCTTCTGCAGCCCCTGAAGTGGCTCTTCAATTAGGAAGTTTAATTAAATTAATGGAGCTGCAAAGGGCTGAAATTCAGGCAATGAAGGAGTCACAAGAACGCAAGCTCAGCGCTTTGCAAGCGTCACAAGAGCAACAAAAAGACCTCCAAGAAAAAGCGCTTTGGGCTATAAATGATGTTAGTAACACGGTGATTAAGCTTCGAAGTGATGTCGACGTAGTCGAAGAACGAGTTACCGGGTTAGGATTGGATATTGAAAATGTGAAAACCGGCCTCACTGAACTACAGAAGAAAGTAGTGCGCCTTGAAACCACGGGAGTCGCGATGTCTAGTGGAACCACTGGAGTGGCGCAAGGACCAAGAGTGAAAGTGCCGCCTTACGACGGCACTACTTCTTGGCACGCTTATCGTCGGCAATTCCAGACTGTTGCTACTGCCAACGGATGGACGGAAGAGCAAAGCCTGACCGCTCTCACTGTTGCGCTTAGAGGGCAAGCTTTGTTGGTCCTGGAAGCACTGCCACATAAAGGGAATGGGTTCCAAGACATGATGGAGGCACTTGAATCCAGGTACGGGGAGCGACACCTGGAGCACGTGTTCCGTGCCCAACTGCGTGACCGAGTCCAACGCTCAGGAGAAGGACTACAACAATGGGCGTTGGAAATTGAAAAACTCGTCAGGAAGGCACACCCAGGAGCCGACACCAAGATGGTAGACACGAATATTGTTCAAGCATTTGTGGACGGAATCAAAGACCTGGAGGTCAGAGCTGCAGTGAGGCTTCGTCACCATACCTCGCTAAAGGAGGCATTGGCGCACGCTTTGGAGGTCGAG